ACTGTGTGCGCTTGGAGCTTTGCTGTACCCAGTGCTCACTTTCCAAGAAAGTGCCTCCTCAGATATAAATATAGCACAGACTAAGGAGGATGCACATTCGAGTCACAGCACTTCAAAAGCCACTTGCATTTGATCTTGGACCTGAACAAAGCTTCACTAAGACTGCCAAGATCCCCTTTGCAATGTTGAGTCTGCCCACAAAAAGTCAGATGCTCAAAGTCCTGGGTTACATTCATTAATGGATCAAAGCAACCAAAGCATTACTTAAACATCCAGATTGCCACGAACTGTCTTTTAAAATGACACCTGAAAATTAGTTTAAACAAACTTACACTTCCTGACAAAGTTGCCAACGTGTTTAATTTTCATTAAAGCAGGGTTTCTGCACTCTTCAAAAAGAACAAATAACGAATCAAGGATGCCTTCCCGGGAGAGAGGAGACATCTGCTGTTGAGTCACAAAGAGTGGCTTCCCCTGGAAAAAAAAAGCAGCAACAGCAGATGGAGTCTCAGACAACAATGAAAAGCCTCAAATCAATAACAGATGTATAGAGCAGATTATATAAAATCCATTTTAAAATCACTTCTTCAGAAATTAGGCAAATTATACAGGAGTGTGAGGTAAATATATCAACTCAGTGTCTATTTGTAATAGCTGCCACAGGTATTTTACTTTTAGACAAAGCAATCTTAATGATTGTTAAAGTTCAAATTGCAGCTTTCTTGAAACTATCTACATCCTCCTGATGACTCTGATCTGACTGAATTTTTCCTTGACATTGTATCACCTGTAATTTTTTCGTGGTACAAATGGTTTAAGAAATCAGTATCAATATTAACTCTAGGGGGAAAAGCTGTTGAACCTCAGGTGATCAAATAGCAGCTGGTCAGGTAAATTCATTTCAGGACAAACTCACAGCTACATCACCCATGAAAAAAATGAAGATTATGGGGCACAGAGTACAATGCAAAAATACATCAGGCTAAAACATCGACACATACAAAAAATATCAGACCTGATACTATCCACTGAACTGCGTGCAAAGTAGATACATTTTGAACTTCACCTATTTATCCACTTCTTTTACCCCTTCCCCCCAAAGAATGACACAGGCAGGCTTTGAGCATCCACGCAGACAAGTAGACATGTATTTTGACATGCTGGGGAGTGGACAAGAACAAAACCGAGATCAGCTACTCCCAGGCCAGATGTTTTTTTACCTGAAAGAGTAGATTCAGCCGAGAAGCTCGGCTGGTGATGGGCTCCATCGTTCCTGCCTCGACCGGATTTCGGGCACCGCATTTAAACTTCAACATCTTTACCTGTACAAGTTTATCTCGTACAAACGATCACCTGAAAAAGAGAACAGGGACGTTCAGCGGGCACTTGAGTGGCTGACTTTAAATTAAAAATAAGGAGATGAGGGAGGATATAATCTGAGCAACATTTTTACTCCTTTGGGGATGAAATTTACTCATAGCGGTAAGTTTGAACACGCCTGGCGCGTCGCAGCAATTTGGGGAAAGGGGAGGGGGAGAAACACCCAATCAGTTAGGCTGGAAAAGACCTCTGTGATCATCGAGCCCAACCTGTGGCCGGACTCCGCCGTGTCAGATCCAGCAGGGCGCTGGGCGCAAGATTCAGTCTTTCCTTGAACACCTCCAGGCGCGGCGGCTCCACCACCTCCCTGGGGCGGAGAGGGAACGGCCGCAGGCGGGACGGCGCGGAGCCTCCGTAAACCCCCGGTGGCCCCAGGGACCCCTCAAAACCCCAGATCCCACTCTGAAACCCCCTCAGAGCGCCCTCCCCACCTGGCCCCGCGCGCTCCCGCCTTTACCGCCGCCCGCGTTTGAACGGCGCGCGCGGGGCGGGGCTCGCCCGCCATCACTTCCCGTGACGAGGCGCGAGCCAATGGCGGCCGGGGCGGGCCGGAAGCGCCGCTGAGGGGGCTCTGGGGGGGATGAGGGGATTCCACCGTCCGAACCTCTGAGGGGGCTCTGGGGGGGATGAGGGGATTCCACCGCCCCAGCCGCTGAGGGGGCTCTGAGGGGGATG